CATGATACTATACATAGAGAATCCTAAAGATGCTACCCAGAAAACTACTAGAGCTAATCAATGAATTTGGTAAAGTAGCAGGATACAAAATTAATGCACAGAAATCTCTTGCATTCCTATACACTAATGATGAAAAATCTGAAAGAGAAATTAAGGAAACACTCCCATTTACCACTGCAACAAAAAGAATAAAATACCTAGGAAAAAACCTACCTAAGGAGACAAAAGACCTGTATGCAGAAAACTATAAGACACTGATGAAAGAAACTAAAGATGATACAAACAGACAGAGAGATATACCATGTTCTTGGATTGGAAGAATCAACATTGTGGAAATGACTATACTACCCAAAGCAATCTACAGATTCAGTGTAATCTCTATCAAACTACCAATGGCATTTTTCATAGAACTAGAACAAAAAATTTCACAACTTGTATGGAAACACCAAAGACCCCAAATAGCCAAAGCAATCTCGAGAAAGAAAAACGGAGCTGGAGGAATCAGGCTCCCAGACTTCAGACACTACTACAAAGCTACAGTAATCAAGACAGTATGATACTGGCACAAAAACAGAAATATGGATCAATGGAACAGGATAGAAAGCCCAGAGATAAACCTACGCACATATAGTCAACTTACCTTTGGTAAAGGAGGCAAGAATATACAATGGAGAAAAGAAAGCCTCTTCAATAAGTGGTGCTGAGCAAATTGGACAGCTACATGTAAATGAATGAAATTAGAACACTCCCTACCACCATACATAAAAGTAAACTCAAAGTGGATTAAAGACCTAAATGTAAGGCCAGACACTGTAAAACTCTTAGAGGAAAACATAGGCAGAACATGCTATGACATAAATCACAGCAAGATCCTTTTTGACCCACCTCCTAAAGAAATGGAAATAAAAACAAAAATAAACAAATGGACCTAATGAAACTTCAAAGCTTTTGCACAGCAAAGGAAACCATAAACAAGACGAAAAGACAACCCTCAGAATGGGAGAAAATATTTTCAAACGAATCAACTGACAAAGGATTAATCTCCAAAATATACAAGCAGCTCATGCAGCTCAATATCCAAAAAGCAAACAACCCAACCCAAAAACGGGCAGAAGCCCTAAACAGACATTTCTCCAAAGAAGATATACAGACTGCCAACAAACACATGAAAGGATGCTCAACATCACTAATCGTTAGAGAAATGCAAATCAAAACTACAGTGAGGTATCACCTCACACCAGTCAGAATGGCCATCATCAAAAAGTCTACAAACAATAAATGCTGGAGAGGGTGTGGAGAAAAGGAAACCCTCTTGCACTGTTGGTGGGAATGTAAATTGATACAGCCACTATGGAGAACAGTATCGAGGTTCCTTAAAAAACTGAAAATAGAACTACCATACTACCCAGCAATCCCACTACTGGGCATATACCCTGAGAAAACTATAGTTCAAAAAGAGTCATGTACCACAATGTTCACTGCAGCTCTATTTACAATAGCCAGGACATGGAAGCAACCTAAGTGTCCACTGACAGATGAATGGATGAAGAAGATGTGGCATATATATACAAGGGAATATTACTCAGCCATAAAGAGAAATGAAATTAAGTTATTTGTAGTGAGGTGGATGGACCTAGAGTCTGTCATACAGAGTAAGTCAGAAAAACAAATACTGTATGCTAACACATATATATAGCATCTAAAAAAAAAATGGTTCTGTGGAAACTAAGGGCAGGACAGGAATAAAGACACATGTAGAGAGTGGACTTGTGGACATGGGGAGGGGGAGGGGGAGGGGGAAGGGGAAGCTGGGGCGAAGTGAGAGAGTGGCATGTACATATATACACTACCAAATGTAAAATAGATGGGCAGTAGGAAGCAGCCGCATAGCACAGGGAGATCAGCTCGGTGCTTTGTGACCACCTAGAGGGGTGGGATAGGGAGGGTGGGAGGGAGATGCAAGAGGGAGGAGATATGGGGATGTATGTATATGTATAGCTGATTCATTTGTTATAAAGCAGAAACTAACACACCATTGTAAAACAATTATACGCCAATAAAGATGTTAAAAAAAAGAAAATGAACCTATACGACAGAAGAGAAAGAGAGAAAAGGAAGACCTAAGCCGTAAGGTGGAATAGTTCAAATGTATTCAGAGGAAATACAAAGATAAATCATTATCATTTTGGCTTTAAGCGGATGGATGGAAGATTCCTGGAAGGTTATAAGAAAACAGACTACTTCACAAATAACTGAGAAAATACTGTAAAAGAATAAATCGTGGTTTCCATATACTCAGAGAAGAGCAGCCAGAAAAGATGCAGATGACTGCTTCTTGCCAGCTGGATTAAGACGTTACACTTGCCAATGATTTTGGCAATTACTCTGAAATTGTAATTAGCTCACTCTCTCCGGCTGAATTTTCTGTACAAATTGAACAAATATTTGACCTTTGGCCAACTTTGTCATTGGACCCTGTTCTTCCAAAGTGCATGAGCGTATGTGCTTGATATCATTTTACAGCCCCCCACCCCGTGGGATGAGGTAATTCACCAAGTTTTCTAATCCAGCTGGGTGCAGATAAAGCAGCAGATCTTATTTAAGGGCTTGCCCAGGCCTTTGTAAAAACAAGACAAAGCAAAAAGTAAAACAAAAAACAAATTCCCCCCACAGGAAGGGGCGGGGTGTGTGTGTGGGGGGGGTGGGAATTGATTAGCCGGAAGCAAAATATTCCCATGTGACACTTTTCCCCTTATTTTTTTAAACCAACTATTTCATGGAAAATTCTACCCCATCTGCACCTGTCTTGCAATAAGTTCGACCACTGTATGACACTCATGCAATAAGCTTCTAGATAGAGCCCAGTTTACAACTCCAGGAGAGTTGGGTTGGCCTACCAGGAGATCCAAACCCTCAGGGTGACAAAGTCACATCCAAATTGAATCCCAGGTCACAGAGCTCGTCACTTCCTATTTCATGTAACTAAGAGCTGAGAAGGAATGCTTCCATTTTCTTTACATCTAAGGGAGGAGATGCATTCGGGAGTGGGGCAGTGATCTGTGGAAGGGAGGAGAGCTGAAAGCATTTAGTTACACCCAGGGATCCAACAACTAACTAATTTAAGGAGAGACTACACAGGCATCTTCAGTCCCACAACTGGCATTTTAGAACAGTAATCCAAGACTCAAAATAGTCAATGCAGCCTTGAGTATCAGGGTTTAAAAGAATGAAAGATAAAAAGAAAGTAACTTTGGAGAGGAAGCAGCCTGTGGTGGGAAGAACGAAACCACAAAACCATTTTAAGCGCAGCGCTTCCCTCCTTAATGTGGACCACAAATTGTTTTAGCCTGTGATCACACTCAGCCCCCGGGCTCCCAGGAGAAGGCCTTCCATGCTGGCCCAGCCCTGCGTGGCCAAGGCTGTCTGGGAGGGGTGTTTAGGAAAAGAGCAGGAGTTCTAACTTTCGTTCTCTCTCCAGTCTGAATGAAATGCAACTCTGCTCCATTCAGATACATAAGGGTTAAAAAAAAAAAAGTGCATTTTGGATACAGCTGGAAGCTATTAACAACTCTGAGAACATCTCAGTAACCCAGTGAGAGGATGGGTGGCCTGGCAGAGATCCTGAATCCATGTTTGTAATCACAGACTCTTACCACTGGGCGGGGCTTGCTTTCTACCTCCCACCCAGTGGAGACATCCCTTCTTCAACTGTTCAGTCCCTGCTTGCATACTTCCAGCCTCTTCCTTCAAGGGCAACTTCATTTACTAGAAAGTTCTTTTTGGCAAAAAATGCCTCCGTAGAAAATCTCCCCCTTAGCTCTAGCTCAGTCCTCTGATGCCATAGCACACGACCGTCCTACTTGTGAAACAGCTATATTTGCCTCCAAATGCTTGCCTTCTTATGGCCAAACGCCCCATCTGTGCCAGGCAGCCCTCCCATCTGGTGGTTTCCAGATCCCTCCAGAGCCTGCTTACTCTTTGAATAGTGATTATGTTTCAGAGTCCCTTCTAGAGAATCTATTCCTAGCTCCCAGGCATCAATATCCTCTAGGAGACCTTTTCATTCAGGAGTTTTTGAGGGAAGTTTTTTTCAGGGAAGATGCAGCCACACCCCCTTTTAGGCACTGCCACGAGAGCATCTACGCTGTCTCATCCCTAAGCAAGCTTTGGGCTCCAGCAGCCTTGCCTAGTGAATACTGCTAGCCTGTCAATGGCATCACCAAGCCAGAGAGGAGGGAGAACAGAATGAATGAGCTTCCCCTGGATGCCTAGCAGGGCAGTCCCCAGCTTTCCACTGAGTGTGGAGGCAGATGAGCAAAGATCACTCCCATCTTGACCCTGGAGCTAGGACCCAGCCTCTAGGACCGAGACAAAAGATCACTTCATTATCTATCTCGCCTGTCCAAAAACCTTCCATGGAGTCCCACCTCCCGCACAGAACACAAGCACTCACGCCTCCTTCACCCGGCCCAGGCCTGCCCATCCCCATGCTCCCCGCAGGCTCCAGCCCGGGGCCTCTGCTGCAGCAGCCCACCTTGTCCTGGCTGGTCCCGACGCAAGGCCCATGCTCTCTCGCTTGCCCTTTCTGATACCTTTCTTCTTCCTGCGAGGTTTTCTGAGTTTCCTCTTTTCCTGGGCTAGCTCCAGAGCATCTGAAAAACCAGTATTCTCTAATCGTGGACTAAGGCTGACATTTCTGACCATTGGAGGCAGGTCTTTTCCCAGCGTTCTCTTCTTCAATTAATTAATGGTTCGAATAAGCACAGGAATGAGCCTCTTGTTCTCGTTCTCAGCAGGTTAAGTGCAGTGGATGGTGATTGCTCTTTTGGTCTGAGGAATGTCCTAATTACCTCTTTGCTTTCATTATATGGAGGGGATCCAGGGTCAGCCCAGGCTCTGGCTTTTAGAGATTAAGTAAATGAACAGTTATGACCTAACAGTCACCCCATATATAAGCTGATACCACAAGGTGTAATCTTGACCTCATTTTGCATTCCCAGCTGTGCCTCAGATCAACTGTGATGTGAGAGCTGGAAAGATAATCAATCCCGAGTTCATTGTGAAATGTCCAGCAGGATGCCAAGACCCCAGGTACCACGTTTATGGCACTGACGTCTATGCATCCTACTCCAGCGTGTGTGGCGCTGCGGTTCACAGGTGGGTAGCGCTGAGCTTCTTAGGCACGAGCAACCAGGGTGTGGGCAGGGATCCCCCGGTGCAGGGTTGCCTGATTAGCAAGCAAGAGCAAACAAACTTAATGGAGCATCCTGTATTTTATCTGGCAGCCCTATCCCATGGGATGCCCCAGAATCTGTGCATGGTCCTGGATCTCCTTTCAGATCTCTCTGGAAAGGAGGACTGACTTCTCTTTACACCTTAATGGGTGGGGGTGGGAGGGAGAATCCTACTCTTTTGTGTTCATAATGAGGAAACCAAAGTTCTTGATGATGTAAAGCCTTTTTATTTTTACCTGTGTGTGCTGAGCAAGGAGATAATAGGGACATGACTAAGGAAGGCCCAGAAGTTTAGAGAAGAAATGTGACAGCTTCAGTTGGTGATCTGGAGACAAAGAGGAACAGGAAAAGTGAGAAGGAGGGTGACAGGGGGTCCTGCCTGGTCAGCTGTTGATGGGGGATCCAGGAAGGAGGGCAGGAAGCATGACATGCTTTGGACCATGTCACTGCCTAAATGAGGAAAGGCAATAGCGACCTTCACAGAATCCTCACACCTCTTGTTTAGGCTTGGAGCCAAAACCCAGGGAAATGCATGTTTACTTAATAGCTCTCATAATGGGTATGTGTGAAGCACTCCACCTGTGTTATCTAATTCGGCCCTCACCATTCCCCTGTGCGGTATCCTCGACCTCTTAAAGGTGAAGAGAGGTTGAATAGCCTTTCTAAAGCCACACCGTTAAAAAGTATCCGAGTGGGGATTGGAACCCAAGTCCAGCCCCCCACTTCTATTCACCAGCCAGCACTACTTTGAGATGTGGCTCAAAGTCAGTGGTTGGCTGCTGGATACTGATGAAGTTTCTCAATTATTCAGGCTTCCGGTATCTTTTTCCTTTTCTTTACTTGCACGCCAGTCACTTGATTGTTCAGTTGTATCTCCGCCAGAGAGAGGGGAGACATAAAATTCATTCCTTTTCAAGGTGTCTAGTCAGTAGCCTCTCTGAAATTTGGGGAAGAAGTAAAAAAAAAAAAAATCTATGCCTAAAATAAGATTTAAGACTTACTAATAGACTTTGTCAGTCATACTCTTTTCCCCATCAGCCAAAGAGATGAACAGCTACCTGGTTTTTCAATGGGAGTGGGAATACAAAAGCTCTACTGAGGATATACAGAGGAACATTAAAGAACAAAACACCAAATGCTGTTCCTTAACTCCAAACTGTGGAATAAAAATATTTTGTTTTCACTTTGAAATCAATTTTGTGCACCAAGTCGATACGCGGACCTACACGTGAACATGTGCATGCCTCCACACAATCACTTGTACACATATGCATGCCTCCCACATGTGCTAGAACACACGTGCGTGCTCACACACACCCTGACACACACATGTGCATGCCAACACCATTAGCACACTCCGGTCTGTGTCCGTGTAGACACTGACATATGTTACAGAGGCCGAGCCCGTCTTAAGGCTGCCTGTATTTTTCCAACTGTGGTCCGAGATGGTTGGCACTTGCTTCGTCTGGCATTTGCTGGCTCTCTCTTGCCTTTCCTTGGTCCCCTGAGGTACAGAGCCACACAAGTTAATGTGAGCTCACCAAGATGTCATCATAATGACAGTAACCCCTTACACTGAGATCCTCTCCTTCTAGCATCATCTCAGCCCTATGAGGCTGCTGTTAGCATCCCCAGTTGTTAGAAGAGGAAGGGAGGCATAGGGAAGTTAATTAAGTTGCACATCCAGGACTAGAACTTGTGTCCCCTGACTTCCAGCCCTGAGCCCAGGTGATACATTTACATAAGAACCGAGAGGACGTGAAGACGTGATGGGGTTGTAGCACTTTGGGGTGGTCAGAGTTGGGAAAGGATTTTAGGATGAACGGACACACCTCTAGAGAGAAAATAAGAAGGGCACTGACAAGGACCAGGACTCAGCAATCCCAGCATTTGGGTTGGAGCATAGGAACTACCTGGCAAGAATATAGATGAGGGTAGAGGGACAGAGGAGAAGAGTTTGACTGTTTCAAGCATAGGAACTACCTGGCAAGAATATAGATGAGGGTAGAGGGACAGAGGAGAAGAGTTTGACTGTTTCAAGAGTTTGACTGTTTGACTGTTTCAAGAGTTTGACTGTTTCAAGTTTGACTGTTTCAAGAGTTTGACTGTTTGACTGTTTCAAGTTTGACTGTTTCAACATTTGCTGCTGGAGCAACGGAATGCCTTGTACCTTCCTGGACCAGCGACTGATGCTGTAGGAAACTGTTTGGAAAGAAGGAATCACTATCCATGAGGAGGATGTATAGAGGTCTTAAGGGAAAACAGACAGGAATTTTGGATAATACCAGTTCCGTTTTTTACAAACAGAAGGAGTCTGTTTTTAGAAGGCAGGTTTGGGGTTTTTTTGTTTTTTTTTTTTGCGGTACGCGGGCCTTTCACTGTTGTGGCCTCTCCCGCTGCGGAGCACAGGCTCTGGACGCGCAGGCTCAGCGGCCATGGCTCACGGGTCCAGCCGCTCCGCGGCATGTGGGATCTTCCCGGACCAGGGCACGAACCCGTGTCTCCGGCATCGGCAGGCGGACTCCTAACCACTGCGCCACCAGGGAATCCCAGAAGGCAGGATTTAAGACAGAGAATAGAGTGGAAAATGTATGAAGGACCTCCCATCACTGTCCTGCCAGAGTCCCCTGCAGTCGGAACTGGGAAACTGGAGAGAGCACACTTTGGTTTAGAAATTCAGATTTAGCTTAAAGGATTTAAATTTCATACGAACTATGACAATCAGATCCCTCATTATGAGTGATCCCCTTGATTCTTTCAAACCAAAGGGCTAATGAACATATTTGAGGCATCATAGTTTGGCTCAGTCTTATCCTGAACTAATTTCTGTGTTTAAAGTGGGACCAAGGCCTGGAGAGAGGGGAGAGTTCTCTGAGCTGGGACAAGGAAGAGGCCATCTCCATGCAGAGCATGAATTTCTGACCAGACACCCACCTTGAGAATGGCAGCCATTCAAAACCTGGCCTCGCTGTGGGCAGTCCCTTTTCTCCGAGCCACGAAGCTGACCCTCAGATTATCCCAGTGCCCTGGGGCCAGGGTCAGGGAGGAGGTGAACCTCAAAGCCATGTTCAGCATCATGCAGGGTGTCTGAGGAATGCAAAGGAGTAGAACTGGTTTTGTTCTTTGAGAGAATATATTTGACGTGCCTCCACCTCAATGAAGGTGCACATGAGGTCGCATTTATATAAATTCTCCAAACTACCATGGCTCTGAGCCCCCATCTGCTTCATAAGTACAACCACAGCCTTTCAGGCTCTCTCCCTCCTCTGGTATCTCCTGTGATGAACAAGCGTCCGGTGCATTCCTCCCCTGGGATTTCTGTCGCCTCCAGGAGTTGACAGACCACTGACTGCCCCAGGATCTGCCCTCCTCTAGGACAATGTCAGGGAACGCGCACGGCCTCCAGTGAAGTCCACTCACAAGATAGGACATCACTCTCTTCTGCAACAGGAAAATCTCACGAGAAGACAAGAGTTCTGTTTCCGTGCCTTTCCCAAAGTCTGGGTTTTGGGTCTTATATAACTGTCACAAGGGATCTCAGCCTCCCTGTCCAGCCTGAGAACCCCCGGGCCCACCCCATTCCCTTTAAACAGCCTGAGAAAAGGGAAGCTCAGCCCCTCTTTCCACTCTGAGTGGCAGCTACAGCGCTTCTGACTTTTAAACAAGAATGAGTGCACGAACATTTCCTTAATACAATGGAATATAAATCCAGGGGCAGAATAATTTCTCCAGGGGGGGAATAAAAAGATAAGAGCTATTTCTGTTTCCCCCACTTGTCAGTTAGGGACCATGGGATAATCGGGGTAATTTTTTAAAAACTAATCTGAATTTACAGCCTATGCCAGTGGTGTGGTGGTAAAGGTTCACCAACCAGCCCTCCTAAATGGAGGCCTGGGGGGTACTGATTTACCAACATCTGCGGTATAAATACTTCCACCGTGGCTGATTTCAAAGTACCATAGTGAAATGAACCGGCACAATCCAGCAGCCTAATAACTGGCTTTCCCAAGCCAGCATGAGTGGTGTCCGCACACCGACAGGCCTTCTAATGCAGAAGCAAAAACACTGTCTTCCCATAAGAAAATTTCTAATCTAGTTGGGAGACAAAGTTAACTCAAGGAATTTTTAGGAAGTAGCACAAGACCAAATAAAATCAGAGCCTCCATGGAAAGACAAGGTTCGAAGGCATTGTTAGGAAGGGGCATAGCAAAGTCATGGAGAAGGAGGTGTTGGAGAGAAGGCACAGTTTCTCCAGAGCAAAGAGCAGCGTGAACAGAGCCACAGGAGTGGGAATCAAGTGGGCCGTCAGGAGAGAAGAGGCCGGCCTGGCTGCAGCTGGGAGAAGTGAGGGGCCCCGACTGAGAGCTGCCTGAAGAAGGGCAGGCAGGGTTGCAAAGACATGATGGAGGGATGAGGACTTGGTGTTGGGAGATGCCCATGGCTTTTGAGGCAACTGTGACCAAGTGGGGCAAACCCAGGATTCCAGGTCATTTAGACCTGGGTTCAAATCCCTACCTTGCAATTTAGAAGTTACAAAATCTGGAGTGAGTCCCTCGACCTGTCTAAGCCTGTCTCTGTGAAGTGGGAATAACAGCATTCCCTCTGCTCCACAGCCAGTAGGTTTGCTAGGAGAACTCAGTGAGATCCATTAGTGGGGATGATTCAAAAGCAATTAAGGGCTTTACATGTCAAGTATTATTATCACTTTCTTTCCAAGTTGTTGGGAAGTTGAGTGTTGAAAGTTGTTGACTCACCATGAGGGTGGGAGGGCAGGAAATGGCAACGCTCATTCCTGTAGGGAAGGAAGGGTGTTGATGGGAACAAATCTAAGGACATTTTTAGCTCCCCTGTGCTGTAAATTACAGATACCCAAGGGAGCCATGTTAGGCTCTGGGACAAGGAATTGACATACTGGAGCCCCGGCTTCAATGGAGGCAAAGAGGTAGATATGTCAGTTACTATCACATCAGGATCTAAAACCTTCAAAATCCAAGAAATTAAAGAAACAATTACCAGCCTTTGGGGACTCTTTTAAATGAGTTTAATTTAGCTACACACCTTCGTTCCCTAGCCCAAAATAAAAGGAATAATTTGCTTTTAATAATGTACCACCTTTTGAAATAGTTGGAGTCGTTCTGTGATGTCACAAAACCAAATTGGAAATTGTCAGGGAACAGGTTTTACTTCAGGGAGAACTAGTAGGAATTAAGCAACCAAAGAAAAGAAATTTGAGGCATGGTCATGTCCTGTAATACGAAAGAGAAGGACATCGAACATGGGAAGACAGATGCCAGGCCACGTGATGGGAGCATCGTTCTTAGGGGTTAGGCTGCAGGTCAAGGTGAAGGTTTTCTTACTCTCCCTGCTTTCCTATCTCTAAATAAAGACGGTGGCTGAATATCTCTGATGAACACAGATGCAAAAATACTCAACAAAATACTAGCAAACCAAATCCAACAACACATTAAAAGGATCATCCACCATGATCAAGTGGGATTTATCCCAGGGATGCAAGGATTCTTCAATATCTGTAAATAAATCGGTGTGATACACCGCATTAACATACTGAAGAATAAAACCATATGATCATCTCAATAGATGCATAAAAAGTTTTGACAAAATTCAGCACCCATTTATGATAAAAATTCTCCAGAAAGTGGGCAGAGAGGGAACTTACCTCAACATAATAAAGGCCATATATGACAAACCCACAGCTAATATCATTCTCAATGGTGAAAAGCTAAAGGCATTCCCTCTAAGATCAGGAACAAGACAAGGATGTTCACTCTTACCAGTTTTATTCAACATAGTTTTGGAAGTTTTAGCCACAGCAATCAGAGAAGAAAAAGAAATGAAAGGTATCCAAGTTGGAAAGGAAGAAGTAAAACTGTCACTGTTTGCAGATAACATGATACTATACATAGAAAATCCTAAAGGTGCTACCAGAAAACTACTAGAGCTCGTCAATGAATTTGGTAAAATTGCAGGATACAAAATTAATACACAGAAATCTCTTGCTTTCCTATACACTAATCAGGAAAGATCAGAAAGAGAAATTAAGGAAATAATCCCATTTACCATGGCATCAAAAAGAATACCTAGGAATAAACCTACCTAAGGAGGCAAAAGGCCTGTACTCTGAAAACTATAAGACACTGATGAAAGAAATCGAAAATGACACGAATAGATGGGAAAATATACCGTGTTCTTGGATTGGAAGAATCAATATTGTCAAAATGACTAGACCACCAAGACAATCTACAGATTCAATGCAATCCCTATCAAATTACCAATGGCATTTTCCACAGAACTAGAACAAAAATTTTTTAAATTTGTATGGAAACACCAAAGACCCCAAATAGCCAAAGCAATCTTGAGAAAGAGAATGTTCATTGCAGCACTATTTACAATAGCCAAGACATGGAAGCAACCTAAATGTCCCTCAACAGAGGGGTGGATAAAGAATATGTGGTACACGTATACAGTGGAATATTACTCAGCCATAAAAAAAGAATGAAATAATGCCATTTGCAGCAACATGGATGGACCTAGAGATTATCATACTAAGTGAACTAAGTCAGACAAAGACAAACATCATATGATATCACCCATATGTGGAATCTAATTTTTTTAAATGATATAAATGAACTTATTTATAAAACAGAAACAGACTCACAGATTTTGAAAGCAAACTTATGGTTACCAAAGGGGAGAGGGATAAATCAAGAGCTTGGGATTAACATATACACACTTCTATATATAAATTAGACAACCAACAAGCACCCACTGTATAGCACAGGGAACTCTACTCAATATTCTGTAATAACCTATATAGGGAAAGAATCTGAAAAAGAATGAATATATGTATATGTGTAACTGAATCACTATGCTGTACACCTGAAACTAACACAACACTGTAAATAAACTATACTCCAATCAATTATTTTAAATGTATAACATGTAGAACAAGAAAAAAAATAAAGATGGTGACCGGTTTCAAAGTCTGTTATATGTCAAACAATATTTTTCTGTCCTTTCTTCAAAAAAAATTTTTTTTTTCTCTTCACAGTGGTGTGCTCGATAATTCAGGAGGGAAAATACTTGTTCGGAAAGTTGCTGGACAGTCTGGCTATAAAGGGAGTTACTCCAATGGTGTCCAGTCGTTATCCCTTCCACGATGGAGAGAATCCTTTGTCGTCTCAGGTATGCCCACACCCTGGAGAAATGCTGCCCTACAACTGGTACTTCGGTTAAGTTACCTCACGGGATGAAATGGGCTCTTTTCAGTGTGCCATTAGTTTTAGTTTATGGCCCACCTCATTTCATAAAAATCTGAAGCATTAGTTCTTCTGATAGTTAAGATCATGAAACAATGAATTATAATTTCAGTGATAAATCACTACAAAGTCTGGAAATATTAAAAGGCTCCAATTACTCATTTTAAACACACAGCAGCTATCAGTAAGTCCAATCAAACTTTTAGTTAAGTGAATTACGTTTAATAACTGGATTTTTGAACTACTCCTTTAGTTATGCCAAATGTGCCTCATATCTGGAAGCTTATTCCTTGAGAATTCTGGTAAATGGACAGATAGGGACAGGTTTTTAGAACACTGAGCTACAATTTTATTTGAGATTTCTTTTTTTTAATTAATTGTTTCACTGTTTAGTCCATTCTCACTATTGGCTCCACAGGATTTTATAGATAATCATTTTCACTCTTTTTTTTTTTTCCCTCTTCCAAAGAGGTAATATCAATGAACTCATAGCTGTGTTATTTCGCAGTAAAAAGATAACCAAGGTCTTTGTACTATCATCATGACCTGCCTGCTCCCCTCTTTTTATTTTTGTGAATTTCCCCAACCTAACTTTTTATTTTGAAAACTTTTAAATTTACAGAAAAATTAAAAGAATAGTACAATGAATACCATATTCTCTTCACCCAGATTCACCAATTGTTAATACTTTGCTATACTTGCTTTATCTATCTATTTATATTTCGTTTGAACTGTGTGAAAATAAGCTGTGGGCATGATGACACTTTATCCCTTAATACTTCAGCACACATATGGTAAGAGCTAAAGCATTTTCCTAAATAACCACAGTACCACATCTAAAAAATTAACACTGATACAATAATTTAATAAATATTAATAAATAAGAAATAATAAGAAAAAGTTCTTATTCAGTTGTATCCAACTATCCCCCAAATATTCTTCACAGTAATTCTTCTTTTTTTGGGGGGGGGAATCTACAATCCAATCAAAAATCATCCATTGTATTTAGTTGTCATGTCCATTTTAGTCTCCTTTAATCTAGAACTGTCTGCCACCACACTTCCTTTTTTGGTCATAAGTAGTGATGACATTTTTGAAGTCCCAGCCAGTCATCTATTACTATGTCCCACAGTCTGGACCACAAACAGGTCCAGCTATTTACTCATGGTTGGATTCAGGTTAAATATTTTGTCAAGGACACTACATAGGTGGTATCATAGCATATCCATTGTGGAGTATCACAAATGGCCATATCAGGAGACACAATAGCATTTTGTCCATTTGTCGCTGATGCTAAATTTGATTACTTGGATACTTTACCCTGTCTCTTCATGGTAAAGATACTTTGTAATTAATAGCAACCTGTAGGGTGATACTTCAAAACAGCATGAATATCTTGTTCCCTCCAAAATTTAACCCAATGATTTTAACATCTATTGATGATCCTTGCTGTAGCAAGAATTACATCAGAAATTGCAAAATTATATTTGTTCTAATTCTGTCATTTCTTCTACATTTATTAGCTAGTGTTATTACACAAGGAAGAGGGCTTTCCCGCCTCTCTCCACAACTATTTTTTCAAGTACAACTATGGACTCACAGATTGTTTTTTTTAAAGTACAATGTGTTATAGTCTATTATCGTCATTATTCTTTCTGTTGCTCAAAATTTCCAGGTTTGGCCAGTGGGAGCTCTTCCAGCTTTTGACATGCCTCATTAGCATTTGAGCACAACACAACATTCTATCCTCACCTTATACTTACCCTACACTGGACCTTGAATCTCCCATATTCTCCAAAGAGGCACTGCAGGATTTTAAACTACATTCTAGCAAACCTTTCTGGCAACCCCACAAAATCCGGAGCCATGTGACTCTCCTGAGAACTGCCTACAGAAGACCAACTAAAGCAAGGAAAAGAGAAATGTCTCATAATATATCAGGCCTTCCAATCTGGGTGGGTTTTTTTGCACCTTTAGACACCCCATGTCCCAACCTCTACTATCCATTGATCAGAGTTTTAATAGGACTGCTATCAGACATTTTAAGATTCTTCTCTATTTAAGCAATCCCTGTTTCCTCTTATCTGCGGAATTCTGCACACCTAGGGTTCAAATTACACTGGTTTCTATGTCAAATAATGGGAGGTTATCAACCATAGTACCGCAAGCTTTGCCCTGTAACAAAACATTCAGAACTGGGGCCATATAAAAATGCTAAGGTCTAGAATACAAATGCCAATCATAGACATATAATCTCCACATTGGTGTTTACCAAGTAGCTCCTGGCGAAATAAGAGGGTTTCAATCTTTGTTGCCTAGCCTGTAATCCAAGAATTCCAGCAGAGGTTTACAAGGAAAATTAATTCCATGAGAGTAGAGATGTTTTGGATTTTTTTAAATGAAAATCAATCTGCTGTGATTATTCCCTATAAATCTCAACTTCCATGTCCTCTCATTCAACCTAGTGACATTTAACCAGAAACACTTTCTGCCAATGATAATAAACACATGTGCTTCTGCAATGGCTAGGGGTCTCCAACGAATGAGTTAGGAGAGTGCAATGCCGGCTACAGGTCTCAGCTGGCGGTGGACAGGGCAGGTTCTCCATTGTCCAGAGGCTTCTGGCCAACAAGTTTTGCTGGATCGTGTCAGAGTCCTTCTCTGAAGGCTCTGATGCCTCTGTGACTTTTCTCTAGGCTTTTATTTCCACTTTTCACATGTTGCTATGCATCTTTAATTAATTCACTTTGGTGGGCTGGGAGGGGGCAGGAGAGGGGAGCTGTGTTTTTGTTCAGCACAATCTTTCCACAGTTCAGGGACGGGAAAGGTCCAGCAAGGACCTCCTAATGCTGCCCGTTTGTCCTCTGATCCACACTGCAGAAAACTGAGCTCAGGCTCCTTTTCCTTCTGAATAGAAACAGAGAGAACCATAGGATTTTAGATGCGAGAAGAATAGGAAACTGAGGGAGCCGATGTCTCTGCGGCACTCGCTGTGGATAAAGTGAGGCCCACAGCCAAGGCGCCCTCCTTGGGTCTGAAATAACCTCACTCACTGTCCACCTGGAGCAGGGTGGCCCAGGGCGAGGACATGCGGGTGTCCAGCCCTGCTCCCAGGTGGCTTTTGTGAGATGAAGTAACTCCCATGAGCCCCAACATTTGCCTCTTCCCCACCTGGAGTGACATTTATAGGTAACACCAGAATAACTTCTTTGCATCTCTGTGGTGAAACATAGTTCCAAAACTTCTTAACTGTTTTTTTTTCCTTTAGATCCCTACAACTTTGTATGGTAAGTTGGTCCACATCATTATACATATTTTCTGAATTAAAAAAAAAAAAAAAAAACACAAAAAACCCCAGAGTCTCAGAGATTGAGGCAGTTAATGAATGGTAAAACAGAAAGGGAAACCTAGATTTTCTTGCTCCCAATCCCAAGCCCCTCCTGAGACCCTGTTATTCTGTCTGCCTCATGACTCTTGCAGTCCCTTGTGCCCAGGAGGACCTTTGGCAAAATCGGGCACTAGATTGTGTTCCACCTCCCACCTCCCATTTGACACTCCTCACCTCTCCTCCCCTAGCCCATCCTATAAAAATATTCCCTCAGGTTGAGAGTTTAAAATGCTTTCATTATCAGGTGTAAATATCGAAAAACAGGTGAGACCCCTCCCAAGGGCATTTAAATTTTAACAGAGATCTAAGCACTAATTCCCGTTATTCTTATTGAGCATCTACTACATCCCAGACAGCTCCAGGCCCTGGGGATTTCACAGCCACCAAGTGAGACAAATTACCTGCCTCAGGGGGGCTTCTGCATTCTAGTGACACTTCCCATTTCGTGTGGAATGAAACTCCTTGGTGGAATTTCAAGCCGCACTCCCTGGCAGAGGAGGACTGCGGACTGCAGCCTTCTCAGGCAGGTTCAGCCACACCAGGCTTGCGGCTTGCCTCCCCAGCCCTGATCGTTTTTCTTCTTTATGCCTCCATGGTTTCCCTGATACCCATTAGCATTCCTTCCCTCGCCTGGTATCTAAACTTTCACTCCCTGGGTGGACAACAAATGGTCATTTTCAAGGCCGATCTCTATTTACCTACTTTCAAGTTTCTCTAGTGCCGTGGAATTCAAATGGGTCCCACGGGGTCTGTGGAAGTGAGAGGTTGCTGTTCACGTATAGCCAGCGGATGGCCAGAGCTCTCAGCAACCAGGAAAAGAACGTGGGGAGGGTTTTTCCATTCATCTAGTGACCTGATTCAACATTCAGAAAGTCCCGTGTATGGAAACTTTACCTCCAGTTCACATCTTCATGGGCAAAATAAGGGTTGCTCATGTTAATTCTGATGGAGGTTTTACTGCCTCCTTTCTAATATTAATAAAACATAGGTGATACAGGAAAACAGAATGCCACTTGACTTTCTCATTGTAATCAACAATTCAGCAGGGAGAGGGGCGTGGAGACTGACTGATTTCATTGAACTCAAGAGAAACAAATCAGCAGGAGGGAGTCAACTTAACAGAATGCAACCATCTAAAACCTCTAGCTCTAGAAATAAATCATTGTGGTGTTTTTCCTTTTTTTTTTTTTTTTTGCAGAAGGTAAACCCCAAAAGGGTGTAACCTACCCATCATCTCTTACATATTCATCATCTAAAAGCCCAGCTGCCAAAGCAGGCAAGTGTCCACGTGTGATTTCATTTAAATCTTCTGATCTCGTAAACAGGCAATATTGTGTTTTAGGAGACAGGATAAAAATTAGCAACTTAACCAGTCAAGCTCCGCTGACTCCAGTAATATTTTAACAGATGCCAGGAACATGGGCACAGAAGTCAATGTGCTGAAGAGTGAGGCTTTATTTTTTGTTTTGCAATTCTGAGATTATCTCTGAGTTTGTGTCATTTTCATTCAGAATGACTGTTGCCCTGAATTTTACTGTATAGTTACTTTAGAAGATGACGTGACATTCTGTGTGGAAATGTTCCCTGGCAGCTGAAAGGGAAAAGACTGTCTCTACTTACATATGAAATGGAGGGAAGCAAAGAGGAGGATGTGGCTTATGTGATAGCAGCAAGCAGTTCATCTCAACAGCCCAAAGCCAAAAATACAGCCTGTGAGGTTGTGCCGACCCAGCTTCCTGTGACTCACCAAGGGGGTACAGTAAAACTCAGGCCAGGAAAATACCTTTTTCTAGGTTTCTGTGTGAAAGCAAGAGCTATACTATGCATTATTGTCTTTTCTGGGGGAAGGTATGCTTTGATTTCTCACACAAAGAGAAGCTGTGAGTTGTTTTATGGTGGGATTTAACGTTACTTCCAGAAAGTTGAAGAGCTAGCTGATTTTGTTCATGTACTTAAGGTGAATATGGTTTAAGGATAGGCAATAAAAGCTAGCATTTACTGAGCTTTCGCTGTGTGCCAGGCACTGTTCCAAGAGTTTTATCTGATTATTGTATTTATTCACCCCAACAATACCATGGGTATGTATTGCTCTTAGCCCTAATTTACAGTTTGAGGAAAATGCAGCACCAGAGAAGTTTAATAACTTGCCCTTTGCCACACAGCAAGTAAGTAGCAGAGCTTAGAATCAGATCCGGACAATCTGGCTTCAGAAACCCCTCTCTACACCATTATCCTATGTTTTCTTATGCATTCAAATAGGGAATGTTTTTCACTTTTCCACCCCAGTTCCTCTCCAACTATATCTTTAACGGCTTCTTAATTATTCCAGTAATCTAGACCTGTTTTTGTTTGTTTTATTGCAAGGAACCACCTGTTCTGTAACCCCGCCCACAAGCTGGCAGCGGGTGGTGGTGCCCTGTGGACCATTTCTGAGATGTCACCTGTCCTCTTCTGGTGTGGGCCGGGGAAGATGACTAGGGGACAGAGGTCTCCTTGAGTGGCTGGCCAGTTGGTGGAGGGAGAGTGTCCCTGCCCTCTCTGTTGTCTCGTCCAAGTTCTCAGTGATTTCTCAGCAGGTTTCGTGTGTGGGTATCTGGAGCCGGGGGCACTGCTCCGCTGTATCCTGGCCCCGTCTCTTTCTCTGAGTTAGGGGCCCCATCCACTGGCAGCAGCACCTTCACACAGAGTCACGGGTGTGGCTGGGGTTCTCCTCTTCCCTCTTGGGGCCTGAGGAGACCTAGGATGGGATGAGGCTGGTCACCTTTCTTGTCCCATCTCGCCTCACCTTTGGCCTCCTGAGCCCCTCCAGCAGCACCCCTCCCCCACTTCAGGAACAGACCCCATATTCAAGGCAGCCCTCCAGCTTCAGGGACCACATGCCAAGCACTCCCTGTTTCTCCCGTGAGAGGGAGAATACTTCTCGACTCCCAGAATACACCCCCAGACTTCCTCTTTGAGCTCCGCTCCTGCAGTGCACCAGGTGAGCCTGTCGGTGCCGCAGCTCAGAAAGGCCAGTGGGAAACGAGGGCCCCCCACACCCCGCAGGCCCCGTGGTGTTGATGAGAGATTCTCTTGAAGCCCCTTCGTCTGGCTTGGGGAGGACAAAGCGTGAAAGAAGGAAGGGAATATCCTCTTACCCTGAACACTGCTCTCCCCCAGAGGTGGCCTCGGACCCTTCCCCCTCTTCTGGTCCTGTCCTTCTGCTGACGAGCCTGGGTCAGGTGGGGCTGGTGATGGTGCAGGTTCTGCTGGGACAGCCCCACCCATAGGAAGTTCAGTGGCACCTCTCCTCATGCAGAAAGGGGGACTGGGGCCCTCTGACTTTAGTCGTAGCCAGAATCTGGACAACAGGAAGAGTGCTGCACAACCTCCTGTGACCGTAGCCATCAATCAGCAAGTGCTTTCTCTGTGTCAGACACCGTCCTACACAGTGACCCTGCGGCAGGGTGCCAGGTCACCCTCGTTTCAGATAAGGTTCAGCCCCTGCCCAAGGGCCCCGCTCCGATCGGCCCCTACAGCACTCAAAATCTGATCGCATCCCCTCGAAGCAGGTCAAGTTGAAGGGAGAGTGGGTGGAGGGGAGAGAAGACAACTACAGCCAAATGATGACTTAGTTGATAAAAATCCATTGGTTTCTACGTCCTCCATAGCAGAGATCGTTTTCAAACCGTCTCTATCTGCCCCAGGCACCATGGTCCAGCTTAGCACTGCCCACCCCAGCAGGCCTGACTCACTGACGGCCAGGAGGAGTGTGGAGGAGACGGGGCGCCTTCTCACACTTTGCTGCCACGTACTTTATTTTTATTTTATTTTATTTATTTTATTTTATTTTGTTTTGTTTTATATTTTATTTTATATTTTTTGGCCACGCTGCTCGGCTTGTGGGATCTTACTTCCCCGACCAGGGATTGAACCCGGGCCCTCAGCAGTGAATGCGCAGAGTCCTAACCACTGGACTGCCAGGGAATTCCCATGCTGCTACGTACATTTAAAATTAGCAAAAGCCATAGCCAGAACCTCAGGCATTGCTACTGTCATCTGTCCCCTCTACCAAAACATCTCCACCTTCGATGACACCATCGGCCTCCTATCACAAGATTATTCATGGCTGTCAGAGTCTGAAAAATGAAGTTCATTCATTCACTCACTCATTCAATAACCATGTAGTGAGCACCTGCTCTGTGGCAGACTCTGAGCTCAGCTATAAGGATTCCAACATAAAAGGGATACTGGGGTCTCATCCAGCTTCAAGATTAGAGGAACCTCTCTTTCAAGTGACAGTCCCACCGTGGAGTGAGTTTCACCAATACAAATAAAAAATTCCACTGAGAACCATAAAAGGGTGGCTCCCTTCGTTGCTACTCTTCCTTCAGTGATAAAATTCCTTTAGAAATGGAAGGAAGCAGAAGAAATGAAGATGTGAGGGCCAGCAGCTGCTCAGGCCCCAGCATGCCCCTGCAAGATGCTTCCTGGTCTGTCCAAGAATGTGAGTGAACAGGTAAATCAGGTTAGGACGACCCCCCAAAGCATAGCAACCCTCTTTCATGGGAAATTATCTCACTCACAAAAATAGGATGCATCTTGCTTTGCCATGTGCAGCTCCTGCTGAGAAAACACATTCCTGAGATTTAAACGCTGTTCCCAAGGCAGTTAGCAGCCATTAAACAGGCAGCTGGTATTTGGCTGGAGTCTCAAGCTACTCTGAGCTCAATAAAAACAGGTAAGGGTCTGTTTGTAGAAGTTCCCCCAAAGCTGAGAAGGCACATTGCCGGCACCGTGACAAGAGAAGGGAAAGTAAATCTTTACCCTTGCTGAGCTAGAGTGTCAGGAAAACCCCCTCCTGACTCCCCTTGGTCATCCCTTGCCCTGGAAGAAAATCAAGCCCAAGTTCATTGTAATACGTTTGACTGTTCAGGGACCTTCTGCCCTCACTGCCAACACCCTCCAAGGCCACCCCTTCACCCTGTCTTGGGAGTAAGATGACTTCCACCAGAACCCTGGAGACCTCAGGCCACCCTCTGAGGGGAACCCCATTCAGGGATCTTGAAGTGACTCATGACTTCTACTTTGTTCCCCTTTTGTGGGAAAAAGTATGGAACTTGGCATCAAACAAATGTGGGTCCAAGTCCTGGCTCCGCTACCTGCTGTCCATGTGGCCTGAGACTCGTTTCTTGACCTCTGGGAGAATCTGTCCCTTGTCTTAAAAATGGGAATAGTTGGCTGACTTTCCGGATTGTGATTAATATCATATGTGAATGCTTCTGTAAACGAGGTGCACAGTAGATGCTCCGTGAACATTAAGCTTCCTGCCCTCACGTAGAACCCTGAGGCATGTTCTAAGTTCTCACGGGAAGAGCCAAATCCTTCCCTGTCACTCTGACCCCAAGGTGTTGCTGCTAAACTGGTTTCAATTTCCTTCAGTCACCTCACATTTGACACCTACTGAAAGCCCTGTTTTCCACTGGGGGAGAGGGAGGCATATCACGATGATGTCAGCAGCTGTCATTTATCGAAGGCCAAGCACTGTGTGGCCCCCTTACAGACACGATCTCTACCTGTGACAACAGTCCCCCAAGTAGGTCTGACCGTCCCCATTTTCCAGCAAAGGGAGCCAGGCTCAGGAAGCTGAAGAAAGCCTAGTGGCCAGCCTGGCGCTGGCTGTGGTTCTCAAATCAGATTTCCAAGGCCCAGCCCAGATCAGTGAATCAGAATCTCTGTGGATAGGGCCCTGGATCACCTCCACTGTGATGCTAATGACGACCGGGTGTAGGAAGCTGGGAGGCCCTCTCGGTGCCGTTGAGAAGGTGGTTGTCTGGAGCTGTTCTTGACCTTGTCCAAAGAGTAATACGTTAAGAGTCTAAGGGAAGTTTTGAAATGTTTTCCCATGAAAATCGTTGAAAAGAGACCAAACCCCCATGTATCTGAGGTTGTACGAAGAAACTATTCTGGTGGTTTTATTTCAAATTGCTCCAAAAGAACCTGGTCCCGTGAAGAATACACTTTGGGTCACATCAGGCATTATGCTCAGCAAGGAACTGGAAGCATCGGGGCAGAGTAGCTTCTCTGTCTCCCTCTTAAAGACAGTTATATCCTGTGAAGGAGAGCAGGCAAAAACGTCTAGGTCTTATGTGGAAGACAGTGGAAGACCAGGGACTTGGCTCTGCTGGCTGAATTTACGATGTGCTTGAAGACATCTGTGTTCTATGCAAGTAACATAAATGGCTGCCCTCAGGATATTTAATCTGCTCTCTAGCAAAGCAATACCAGCAAAGGCAAACTTGGGGGGTTCAGAAACCTCAGAATTAGCCATGGTGTGAGAAAAAGATAATCCAGATCCCCCACAACCAATGAGTTTAAAGTGGCAAAAATATTGACTATTTCCAAGTAGAAGTTTTATTTTTAATTTAATTACTTGTGGTTTAATTAATACTTTGCAAGTAAAATGTACTGTCAGTTTATTTATATATTTCTCTCCAAGTTAGTAATTAAAGCCTATTTCATAAAATATACAAGTGATTCTATTAAATGGCTTTTCCCTGTATGAACCTGGGCCTGCATCTCCCTAAAGAGGCATTACTGCCTGGTAGCGTTTACCCTCTGGTATAACAGAAGAGTACTTTAGAGAAATTAGAAACTTCCCTAGGACTTGTTATGAAAGCTCAATTCCTTTAGAGTAATGGAAACGTCATAAATCACACTAGTTTTGCCCAAGGATGGCGTGAAGACTGGCTGAACCCCCGAGGCCGCTGCCAGCTCTTTAGCAATCTGTCTGGCACAGTCTCCAGGTGGCTTTAAAGGCAACCAACTGTTAGCAAACATCAGGGTAAATGAGGGATCCACTTCCTGCCTTGCCGGGTTAATGCCTGCAAGAGCAGACAGGACGGCCGAACTCCAACCCAATCCCAGGGCGGTGAGTGCTGACCTGCCCTCCCAACAGGAGGTAATAGCGTCAGGGTGGGGAAATGCGCAGGTGCCAGTGCTGAGCAGTGGGTCCAGACACCCGACGCCACCTCACATTTGTCTACGTGGCTGGACAGGGCTGTGGTCTGACACTGCCCAGCGTGCTGTACAATGTCAAAGAGGAGGTTTGGTGGTTCCCATGAAGAGTACAGCTCCTTCTCTCTCAGATGCTACCCCCCCACCCCGGCCTGCTGTTCTGTGACCAAAGATGCTTCATCCCTAAGCAGAGTTAAGGCTAGAGCTGGGATGCTGTCATACGCTGAAAAACCACCCCCGAAAACATATCCATGTCCTAATCCCTGGAACCTGTGGATGTTTTCTTATATGGCAAAAAATGGGAGTGGGGAGGAAGGCAAGGGGGCTTTGCTGGTGTGATTAAGTTAAGAATCTTTAGATGGGGAAGTTATCCAGGATTGTCTGGGGGCAGGGTTGTGGAGGAGACTAAATGCAATCACACGTATCCTTAAAAGAGGGAGGTAGGGCTTCCCTGGTGGCGCAGTGGTTGAGAGTCCGCCTGCCAATGCAGGGGACACGGGTTCATGCCCCGGTCCGGGAAGATCCCACATGCCGCCGAGCGGCTGGGCCCGTGAGTCATGGCCGCTGAGCCTGTGCGTCCGGAGCCTGTGCTCCGCAACGGGAGAGGCCACAACAGTGAGAGGCCCGCATACCACAAAAAAAAAAAAAAAAGGGAGGCAGAGGGAGATTTGACACACACAGAGGAGAAGGCCACATGGAGATGGAGCAGAGGGAGAATTGAAGATGCTCGCCTTGAAGACTGCAGGGGTGGGGCCACAAGCCAAGGAATGCCAGCAGCCACCAGGAAATGGAAGAGACAGGGAGCAGATTCTACCTTAGAGCCTCTGGAGGGAGCTCAGTCCAGTGACACTGATTTCCAACTTTCAGCCTCCAGAACTGTGAGAGAATAGATTTCTGTTGTTTTAAGCCACTGAGCACATGGTAATTTGTTAGCATCCCCAGGAAACTAATAGAGATGCACAGGTGTAGAAGTTGGCATACCTGCCATGGGTCCAGCAGACACAAGTGACTGGTGGCTGTTGTTCCCTCCCAGGGCTGCGGTGCCGTTCACTTTGGGGACCATGTTTTGTCTCCTTCTGGTGCAAACCCACAGTTCTCAATACAACGACAAGGCCCAGTGGGCCCCTTGTCCCCATGCCCTCAACCTAACAAATTCAGACTCGTTTAAAATTATGGAAACAATCTAAATCATCACACGGGGATGAAGAGCACAATTCAGAAGAATCATCTAGATGGTCCTTACCATCTAATTAGTTCCGATACCCCATTTTATAGCTGAGGAAACTGGGGTCCAGAGGAGTTAGTCGGCTAGTCATGAACCAAATGTGAACTAGAACATCTAAGACACATTGTCTAAAATGGTGAAAGACCTGAAAGTACGCCCTATCCCCAGGCCAACACTAACTGAAACAGCAAAAAAATACGTTCATGAACCATTGCTTCTGGTGTATGGAAAATTAATTTGACAGTTAATCATGTTTGGCCTTGTCTATGTTAATGTTGTTTTGAGCTGTCTCTTAAGTATTTTGTTATTTCATCTTTGGTTTGTTTATTGGCTTATTCCTCCATCCAGATTGTACATTGCTCCACAGCAGCTAGCACAGGACTTTGCTCATAGCTAGTGTTCAAGAAATATTTATTTCTGTCCTGAAGAGCCTACCGTCTGTTTTGTAAGACCCAGTGTAATTCCACTTTCTTACAGGTGAGACCACAAAAGCCTATCAGAGCCCATCAGCTCCAGGGACAACTGCACAGCCAGTCCCCCTGATGCAAGTACTGGGGACCACCGCAGTTGAAGGCACCCATACCACCTTGCCAAAGCCGCCCCCATCTGCAGGCTCTACCACCAGCAGCCTCAGACCACAGCCCGTGGGCCAGAGAAGCCAGGAGCTGGGTCAGTAGGTAGTCACTGTGTGTTGCCATGTGCTAGAAGAATGGAAGACTGGGTTTTTAGAGTTAGTAGCTCTGTCTGAATGCCTGTGTATGAGCCCATCTCCCACCTTTTAAGCTGGGCGAGGGGAGAGTGCCGGAGACCTGGGCCAGGGGTGTGTGTCATGCCCTCCCGGATTCAAGGGGTAAACCTGAGGCCAGTAATAATTCAGGACCAAGCTAAAAGCTACGCAAACTATGTAGAAGGGACTTAATATAGATTTGAAAATAGGACTGCTGTTAATCGTACTTGGGAAGGTAGGATATGATGTGAAACTTTCCCATTGCAAAATCCCCATTTCTCCAAAAGTTCAGTTGAAGGGATAATAGATTTCTATGTAAACACTGTTGGGTTTTGTTTTGTTTTAAGGGACAAACTGAATACTCCTGGAAGTCTTCAAATATTAGAAGCAAACAAAACAAAAAGAATCCCTTTAGGAAAAGCCAGATAGCTCACGTTTTTATTCCTTTTCTGATTGCTTTTTGTCTGCCCACTTGTATCCATTTCTTAAATCATGTTTTAGGTTTTACCAAAGTCCAGTTTATGGAATTAATCTCAGTATTACTTCAGATACGACCTTAGGAGCCCATTTGATAATCCAAACACCCGTTTTACACAGGCTTCTACACCAGGCTTCCTGGGCAATGAGCGCACCTATCCCAGCTCTAAAGGTCTTCTGGCAAGAGGGCGGGAAATTCCACAGCGGGAGTGTCCCTGTTGTCTCAGCTACTTTTTCCAAATATTTCCCACCTGGTGCCACTTTTTCCTCCTAGGAGGAAGCGCCCAGGACTCGTTCTTTCAGCCTCACCTCCAGCTTCCTAACATCAGTGTCTTGTAGCACGACCCCTTCCCCGCCTTCCATGTCAGAGCCCAGCTCTCTAGTCATCTTTCTATTCAACAAATCCAAACACTTTCAATGTGCTAGACATTCTTCTAAGCACCTGACAAATACTAACCTATTAAATCCTCAGAACAGCCCTAGAAAATAGATAACATTACTTCTAATTTGACTAATTCATCGTACTGAGGAGGAAACCAAGGAGTAGGTCAGTGAGGCAATTGGTCCCCAGCCACACAGCTGGGAAGCAGCAGAGCCGAGATTCACCCCCAGCAGCCGGCTCTCCGTGAATCCCCTTGCAGGAGACATCCCTTCCATAAACGAACACCCGAGGCACTAACGATACAGCACAGAATCAGGGGCCTGACCTGCCTTGACATCAGTGGGGTGACAAGATTCGAGGGTCTTAGACACAGCCAATTCCCGCTGTGATCGCTAAGCAACAGTAACAGAACACAGTCCGTTCTCTCCCTGTGCCAGGCACCCTGTATGCATCATGTTATTTACTCTTCCCCAAAACTCTATGAAATAGGGAGTATTATTACTACACTGGATGAATGACTCATGGAAGAAGCTATAATATAAAGTCCCCAAATAAAAATACCATACAAATAATTTCTGAAATATATCAGACACTCCCCCACCATCTTGGTTCTTTCAAAGACTTTTGAGTAGCTGAGTGAGTGGGTGTCTCCTTAGAGGATGTCAGTTTTTACATAACACATATAATTAAGCCCGGGGCATATTTATTTGGCTACACCAGGAGCTTGGAAATCCTGTTACAAGTTGGGCCTGTGCTTATGGAAAACCTCAAGCAACTCGAAGCAGTGGCCCCCAGCCTGGCAAAGCTTCCTTATTCCTGGCCTGGGGACAGGAGCTTTGGGCAGCAGCCTCGCAGCCCATCAGTGTTCACTCTTCATCCTGGTCCAGCGCCCACGTCCATGCTGCCCCACAGACTGCTAGACAAATATGTAGGGCAAGCGCTCCGTGCAGCCTGTGCCCTAATTGCTAAGGAAGGAGCCAAACGGGGGAGGGAGGAAGGAAGAGAAGACTTTAAAATGCGTATGGCCTACTCAAAGGATTTTCTGTAGGAATGAAGAAGAGTGAAGACTAGTGTTTGAATGCCTATGTTTCTTTGAAAATAACAGCCTTATTGAGATACTTTTCCCCTACCATACAATTCACCCCTTTAAAGTGCACAGTTCAATGGTTTTCAGTATACTCACAGGGTTGTGCGACTGTCACCACAGTCAGTTCTAGAACATTTTCATCACCCCAAAAAGAATCCCCACCCCCACTGATGGTCACTCACCGTGTCCCCCTAAGCCTTCCCTCCCCCAGCCCTGGACAACCACCAGTCTACTTTCATGAATGCCTGTCCTAGTGCTTGCCTACAGATATTCGCTGTGACATTTCAGCCCAACCATATTAAATAATGTTTAATATATAGATAATTTCTTCAAATAGCTGAAAATATTCTGTTAATTATGAGAGCAACTCTTCTGCTGATGGACAAGCAAGTTGCTGTTGATGCATTTATGAATTGTTTTTTTCCTTTCATATACGTGACTATAGTCAAAAGATTCTAGGGCTTCCCTGGTGGCGCAGTGGTTGGGAGTCCGCCTGCCGATGCAAGGGACGCGGGTTCGTGCCCCGGTCCGGGAGGATCCCACATGCCACGGAGCGGCTGGGCCGTGGCTGCTGAGCCTGCGCGTCCGGAGCCTGTGCTCCGCGACGGGAGAGGCCACAACAGTGAGAGGCCAGTGTACCGCAAGAAAAAAAAAAAGATTCTAGAAGTGATTGTAGATAGGGCGTGCAAGCAAAACCTGATCCATCTGTTCATTCAAAGCCAGCCTTTGCACTTACAGGAATATGTCCTAAGGTAATTATCAGCCAAAGTCGAAAGAAGCCTGGACACAGATGTTGTTCATGATAGAAAAACAGATGGAGACGGTTTAATCGTCCATTGTCAGAACAGTTAAAGAAATTACTATACAGCTATTAAAATATGTGCACTTATTGACAGAAGATTGGTCTGTGACAGGTTGTTAAGTCAAAGAAGCAGGCTACGAAACAGGATGCGTACCACTCTCATGTTTTATAATTATGTTTTTGCACATGAGAACATGTGCATAGAAAAAGGGATAGAACACTGTATACCAAAATTGTAAACTAGCCACTGCTGTATAGAGGGATTGCAGATGATTCCTTACTACCCATAGTGTATATTTTGACAGTCAGCCTGTGTTCGCTTTAGAATTAGAAAACAGAGCTATTTTGAGTTTGTGTCCAAATAACTGGAATGAAGACACAGGGAATGAAAGTTATGGCAGATAGATTTGATTCTAAGAAAAACTGATATTTTCCCATGACCTCTTATCTCTTCCCTTCCATGAAACTTGGTTCTTTCCCTCAGCTGCTTTTTATGTGGTCCCCTTTCCCCGAAAATGGACTTTGCATCTCTCTTTACAGAATCTCCCATCTCCCTTCTCCCTTTTAAAGCCTTGCTGCAGAAAAATTACCCAGTGAATAATGAATGCTGAAGTGTATTTGATTCTCCCACAGAGTAATTAAGGATAACCCATTGTGTACCCTTAAAAATGACTGAAAGCTAATGCTATTTGCATCAATACCATGTTAATGCAGTTTAAGCAAATTGCTAAATGTTAAGTGACATTTCTATTGAAGGATTACTTTAACCCCCTCAGGAGTGGCATAGCTGAATTATTGTAAGAATAATGAAGTATAAAGAAATATAGCACTTTAGTAAAAGATGCTTACTTGGACAGTTGTGAAGTACAAGGGTTACTGTTACCTGGAATTTTCAGTTAGTGTTTTGAGTTAGATCCTTTTTTTTTTTTTTTCATTTCAATGCCTCCTCCAGGGCAGGTTCAGACCACCCAAGCACAAACTTTACCTTGGTTCTGACCTTGGTAATGTCTTGCTAGGACGGATCAAGGAAAGAATGAGAACAGTTAGATTAAAATTCATGCTCTGACCAGTCCAATGTTATTACAGATTTCTGGTCCACCACCACCTACACTAACAGCCAAAATAGCCCCTGAACTAATCCAGGTAAGAACCTGAACTCACCTTTCTAGCTACTGACGAAAGTTAAGCTTGTTTACATGGGGTTTGTCTTTCCAAATCCTTGTCATTTGACTCAGATTTGGACAGAAAGCATTAAACCAGATATGCCAACAAAAGATACTGCTCAAGGGCCCAACTTGTAAGGAAAGTAAGGAAGCCGTTGAATAAGCAAAGCTTTCACAATCGCCATTCCCCAAAGGCAATTTTGTGGAGGTTGTGATAGAAATTCCTAAGGATTCAGTAACTAGGTTCTTACAAACCTGAAAAGGGATACTCTCTCGGGTTTATACTTGAGGAACAAGGGTCAAAGGAAGAGAGAAATTTTTATCATTTCCCAGGAAAGGGCAGAGCCAATTTTGCCTGAGTAGTTCTGTGATATGGGGAACAGAAATGCGTTCTCTCTCCAGGAATTCTCCTATGAATTACGACACTCCCTGGCTCCCCTTTCTGCACTTCGGTGTGCATCTCTTCAAGGTTTGGCCCAAGAACTGGGAATGCAGAGAGAAGAAACAAGTTCTCTTCTCTGAGATGCTGTTGAGGCCTGCAGAGGTGAGAAAGAAAAATCTCACCCGGTTAGATGCTTTCCACAAACTCTGCTTGGGGCCTGGGCCATGAGTTGACAGACTTGAGAGACAATTTCCTTTGTAGCCTTGGGGCACTAGGAACAAGAAGAGTCCAGGCCTTTCTCTTGCTGGGGGATACCTGTCTGTCCTCCACGAGTTCGAAGAGTCCTAGAGACTGTGGGTTCTGTTTTGTTTTGATTCCAGATGGGAGGAGCGGCTCCACCGGGTCCCCTGGACAGGGCTAAGAGCTTCGATGGCTTCACAGTTGCACCGCTGGCAATGTACATGCCGCTGTTCAGGACAAAGGGCTTAAGGATCAGATCGCTGGGCAGGCCAAGGACTCCAAGGCCATTTTAGACCCTAACAGGCCCGTGGGACAGTTCAGACAGCCAAGCCCGGGGCACTGCTTCCTCTAGTGCCCTTGGCCAGGATCTGTGCGTCCTCTGAAACCCCCAAAAGTAGAGCCAAGCACA